TGAGTCCTCTGTGCTGGCTCCTGTGCGTAGCGGTCTAGAGACTCCTGAGTCCTCTGTGCTGGCTCCTGTGCGTTTGCTGTGAGCTCCCTTCTGGAAACCCTTCCAAATGGCAGTCATCACACTGTATTGTAATTATCTCTTTTTCTGCTAGATGATGAGCTTGACGTAGGAAGCTGTACTTGATCTCCTTCTATCTTCAGCATCATAGGCTCTACTGAGTATTTTTGCATAAACGAGATTAGATCCAGTACAGCCGAAATTATCACGCTTTGCAAAATAAGTTAAAAAGGTTCAGCTGCTCGGGAGGGCAGGGTTCAGAGGAGGTGGAGTCAGTTCTGATGGAGGGATGAGCACCAGAGGTCTTGAAGGACTGGACTGTCCGGGAGAGAGTCAGAGGAAGGTAGGAGAAAGGAATAGTGGTTATGAGAAACAGAGGAATGTAGGGGCTGTTTAGAACACAGCCAGAGTCCCGGTTTTCTGAAACAGATGGGAATCTTCGGCCTGTCTCTGGACTTTTCCTTCCGTTGTTTCAGTGTGGCTTTTTTAAAAGAAAATATCAACAACTGAACTTGGAGAACATCAGGAAGGCCCAGCTGAAATCAGAGACTCTGCTGGAAGAAGAGAATTAGGACCTGCTATCCACTGGGAGAGGCTGTCAGCCAGTCCTGGGACTTGGAGACCCGGCATCCTTTGGAATACTTTTTCCTTCAGGATGATGGACAGCAGCATGAAGCTGTTTGTAGAATATCAGTTTTTAACCACGCATTGTCCCCAAAGCGTCTGTGCATTGTGCAAAAAGTACACTTGGGAAACATTTGGTATTAAATAAAGTTACACTTTTCTTCACAGTAGTGCCTTTAATCTGGAAACACAGTATTACTTATGATTTGCAGTACATTTTGCCTGATAGGGCAAGTTTTCATTCTTATTTTTAAAAAATGATAGATTGTGGCCAGGCACGGTGGCTCACGCCTGTAATCCCAGCACTTTGGGAGGCCGAGGCGGGCGGATCACGAGGTCAAGAGATCGAGACCATCCTGGCCAACGTGGTGAAACCCCCGTCTCTACTAAAAATACAAAAATTAGCTGGGCGTGGTGGCGGGCGCCTGTAGTCCCAGCTACTCGGGAGACTGAGGCAGGAGAATCGTTTGAACCCGGGAGGCAGAGGTTGCAGTGAGCCGAGATCGTGCCACTGCACTACAGCCTGGGTGACAGAGCGAGACTCCGTCTCAAAAACAACAGAACAAAAAAAATCATCGATTGTATCCTTTCAGATAATTCTTAAGTATCAATTTTTCAGATTTCCAAAAGAAACCCTTTGGGGTTTTAATTTAAACATACAGGTTAAGTTTGGCAGCACTGATATCTTTATAGAATTGCCTTTCTACTCCACTTGCTGAGATTTTGTTTGTTTGTTGGTTTGTTTTTTGAGACAGAGTTTCTCTTACTGCCCAGCCTGGAGTGCAATGGTGCGATCTCGGCTCACCGCAACCCCTGCCTCCTGGGTTCAAGCGATTCTCTTGTCTCAGCCTCCCAAGTAGCTGGGATTACAGGCATGCGCCACCACGCCCAGCTAATTTTGTATTTTTAGTAGAGATGGGGTTTCTCTATGTTGGTCAGGCTGGTCTCAAACTCCCGACCTCAGGTGATCCACCCGTCTCAGCCTCCCAAAGTGCTGGGATTACAGGCATGAGTCACCACACCTGGCCATGCTGAGGTTTTTAAAAACACTGCAGCAAGGTTTTACAATTTTCTTCAAAGGGGTCTTAATTTATAAAGACTTATTTCCAGCTGTATTTTTATTTGTTTGTTTATTTTAGGGACAGGGTCTCACTCTGTCGCCCGGGCTGGAGGGCAGTGATGGCAGTCATAGGTCACTGCAGCCTTGAACTTTTGGGTTCAAGCAGTCCTCTGCCTCAGCCTCCTGTGTAGCTGGGACTACAGGTGCAGGCCACCAAGCCTGGCTCCTTTTTGCATTTTTCTTTTGTAGAAATGGGATCTAGCTATGTTGACGAAGCTGATTTCAAACTCCTGGCGTCAAGTGATCCTCCTGCCTTAGCCTCTGAAAGTGTTGGGATTACAGACGTAAGCCACTGTGCCTGGCCTGTACTGTGCTTTTGTTGCTACTGTGAGAAAATACTTTTTTTTCCCCTGACTGTTTAGAGTTTGCATTTAGAACAGTTGGTGGTTTTGAATGTTTATCTTATCTGACCATTTTACTGAACTGTGGTTTTTGATTTTTTTTTTGAGATGGAGTCTCACTCTGTCGCCCAGGCTGGAGTGCAGTGGTGTGATCTCTGCTCACTGCAACCTCCGCCTCCCGGGTTCAAGCGATTCTTCTGCCTCACACTCCTGAGTAGCTGGAACTACAGGCATGCACCACCACGCCTGGCTAATTTTTGTACATTTAGTAGAGACAAGTTTTCACCATGTTGGGCTGGTCTTGAACTCCTGACCTCAGATGATCCACCCGCCTCAGCCTCCCAAAGTGCTTTACAGGCGTGAGCCACCGCGCCCGGTCAAACTTTTTTAATCACGCTTTAGTTGATTCTTTTGGATTTTTTCTAAGGAGATCATTCTATTTGCAAATAATGGCAATTTGGAGTCTTTCTGATATTTCCACTTTTGGCTACCCTTACTTCTTCGACTAGGACGGGGAGAGCTCTGGGAAGTAAACCGTCTGCCTGGCTGTAATGGGAGGGCTTTTCCTGCCGTCCTCTGCCTGCCTTACACCCGCCTGTCATCCCAGCCCTGGCTGCTCTGCCTTTGGGTAGTTTCTGGGGTTTGGTTGCAGCAGCCCATTCCCCTGTCACAGAGCCCCGTACCTTGCCAGTGTTACATCGCTAGGCTGTTAGGCACGATCTGCTTCCTTGTTGACCTGATTCC